AAATAAATTTTTGTAGTAACTGCCAGCCATTAGATCCATAAGCAGAAGGCATTTCATAGTTGATTGCGATGTGCCTTTTATTCATTTATTTTATTAAATTTATATGGCTGTCCATTTGACAAAAATGTTCTGGACAGGTTAGAACAATTAATTAAAACAACAAATGTATGAAAACAGTCATTATTAAAATATAAAAAACACAAGGCATAGGATTGAATGTCAACCACAATAATGGAACTATCTTAAGAATTTCATTGGTCCCCTGGGACCCCAAATACAGATGGACCTAACCTCACTTTGGGGGGGGAGAATGTCCCATTAAGTAAGTGCCACAGCAGAAAAGGCCCACTGCTTGGGACCCGCCAAATTCCCTGGTAGTTGGAACCCACAGCATTTCTCTTCTGCCAGACAGATATAATTAAAAGGAGACAGTCCCTCAGATAATCCATCCCATGCCATGAAGGTCTTTAAAGATTAAAATCAGCAACATGAATTGGACCCGGAAGCAAAATGGTAACAAGTGCTTCTCACAGAGCTGTTCTGTCTGTGAGCAGAGCTAGAAACAGGCTCAATTGGTGCACAACACAAAGCTATGTAAAGGCCTCCTAACTATGACCGTTACTTGCTCTTTGAGCAGGAGTTCTGAGTACAGGAGGATTTCAACACCAAAGATGGTATAATCTTACAACAAGCATGCCTCCCGAGCCACTCAGTCTTGCCAGAATTGCAGCTGTTATCATCCCCTTTTCAGACTCCCCCATCTTCCAGGCACTGGGCTACAATGTTCACAGCATTGCTTAACACACCAGGAGCAGAGATATATTATCAACAACATACTGATGATACCTCCCCCTGTGGCAATGGATGAGATCTCCCAGTAGCCTCATGTAGATGTTGAATCCCCACTGACTGGAATTCACTCTGTAGAAAGGAGGCGAGTAGCAAAAGACTGTGCTGGCCACCCCTAATCCTCCAGGCCGATTCAGATTGATGATATCGAAAACCGCAAGCTGATTCTGCATTAGACTGATTTTGTCCATGTGTAGAGCTTGCTAAAAGTAAAATTTACTGAGTCAATTCATATTAGCTATCATATGGTACTCTTAAAACTGCTCATTTTTTTAAACCATCTCTTAAGAGAGCCATCCTGTCTGTCATTCAAATACTTTTATTCCAATGATCTATGTCATCAGTCCATACTTTTTTTGTTCAATTCATCTAAGAGTCTTACAACCATGCCCTAATTTAATGCACTGTGCTTGAGAAATGTTCCATTTGCAGCAAATATTTTTTTTAAAAAAACCTCTAATCATCTGGTTATGGGTTCCCTAGGGTTGGCTTTATGCAAATGAAATGTAATACAAATTTAGATTCTTACCTGTTTCTCACTCATGGCATAAAGATATTGCAGATCAGGGCTCAGCACTAAATCCCGCAAAATTGGACTGCCATCATGGGCTACCACATTTTCATATTGCAAAGCTGAATGTCCAATGGGACTGGTAGGATCAACCAAGATCTGAAAGAAACAATGAACGTGTAAGAAGCATGAAAACTGGTACAATTTTTTGCAAAATTAAGTTGAGTTATATTTATTAGGTTCCATAGACACAATGTTCCAGTTCTATACAAGTACAGGTGGTCCTGGTTGAACGACACTAAGTTCACAACTGTTCAAAGTTACCATGACACTGAATGAGGGGAACTAATGACCAATCCTGGTAGTTGCAGCTACTATAGCATTCCCACAGTTACATCATCACAATCAGCACTTGGCAATGTCAACTGGCTCACCATTGCAACAGCTGCAATGTCTGTGGTCACGTGATCGCCATTTGCAATGTTCATGGCTGACTTTTAACAAGCAAGGTCAATGAGGAAGCCAGCAGGAAGTCACAAATAGCAATCATGTGACCATGGAATGATGCAGCCACATAGAATTCACATAATAGCAGCAAATGGGACTGGTGCAACTACCAGCATCAATCAGTACAATCAGTGTTGTTGTACTATATACAACCATGCTGCTTAGTGATGGAGTTCCTAGTCCACACTAACATTGTTAAGCATAACATTGTTAAGCAATGAGCCATGTGCGGATCTGTACACTGAGGAAACATAACAACCATGACACAACATAGGAGAACAAGCCCATCAGGACAAGATTCAGCAGTCCATCTGTATTTAAAAGACAAAAGCCACTCTTTCGAAGACAGCAAAGTCCACATTCTGAACAGAGAGGACCGCTAGTTTGAAAGAGAGGTTAAAGAGGCCATCCATGTCAAAATTGAACAGCCCTCTCTCAACAGAGGGGCAGGGATATGACATCTATCTCCAGTCTACCACATAGTCCTTTCAGCAGTTCCAAGAAGGCTCCACACCCATTTGCGCTATTCAGGTGACCCTGACGACACAGATAAGCCTCCAGGTGGCCTCAACGACTCTCTAAAAGAATACAAATGAACATCTATCTGCAAGGAGTATAAAACCTGCCATTCTCCACCAGCCAGTCAGAGCTAAAGAAGTTTCTTGGATGAGAAGCAAAATGTCTTCAAAGAGAAACAAGGAAATCCAAGCTGCCTCATGAAAAAAGCACCTTTGGGACTTTATCCGAGTTATCACTTTTATGTCTTTCACAATAAAAACAATTATTTCCATTTGCTTTTCATTTAAGATTTATTTGATGTATTTGTATACCACTTTGCCATTATTATGAACTCCGAGTGCACTACAGTTAAAATAATAAATTTGAAAAAATGAAGCAGGCAATTACTGGATAATGTATATTAGTATCTCCAGAGAAAGTGCCGGTAAGAGGTATGTTGAGCATTACTGACCATCACCATGTAGAAAATATAAAAATATTTTAATTAGGGCAAGTTTTCCATTATCAATTTATCTACAGGTTGAATTGGATGGAGGAAGAATGGTAGCTACTGTGAACTTCAGCCTCTCTTGGGGTAGCCTCAGAAATAGTGCACTTCCAGCAATAGGATTTGCCTCTCATGGATAAAGACTCTTTTTCCTTTGCCTGTCAGTGTAGCCTATCTTCTTTGCCACAGCAATCATACAATTACCACCTCTCAGCATTTACCATCTCGTACATTTGCTGGAATCATTACTGGAATTAATCATCTTCCTTTTTTAAAAAAATAATGAATTATATATGCTTTGTTTTAGCCAGCTTCCCTTACTCAATGAACTTTTCAATAGCCTAATAGTTGCATTGCTCTTGAAAGGCTCTCCAGCTATCAAGAAGGTGAAGCACCTAAGCACTAACAACCCATGCAAGTATCTATGCAAAGAGGCCGCATAATGAGTGCCAAGAGAATGAAGACAAATTTCATCACCACTTCAGTATTACAATCAAGGGCCCATGTATTCTATTAGAAGTTATACTTCATAAAAGGAGTGAGGGTCAATCAGCATATTTGTTCCTGGCACAGCAGGGATATAGCAAATGCTCTAATCCCATTAATAATAATGACAATAAATCTTATCCAAAAAGATTTGCTTTCACCACAGAGGAAATAACGGCATTAAAAGGCATTATAAGATCCTATTCAACCCATAATAGGGACAGAATATATATCTAGGTTAATTCTCTTCATTCAGCTGTCATCAAGATGCTCATCATGCTTCTCTTTATATATTTGCACTGGAAGTATTTTTTTCTCCTTCTGCAATTAAAACACCTGGAAGCCAATTTGCAAAACCTGGATCGTGGAAGAAATGGTTAATAACCTTATTCCATCTCACCTGAAATCTGGATTCAATCGTCTTTTGGCCCTACAAAGATGGTGTACAGGGAATCTTCAACTTACAACAGTTCACTTAGTGACCGTTCGAAGTTACAACAGCACTGAAAGGAGTGACTTACAACCGTTTTTCACACTTACAACCCTTGCAGCATCCCCCACAGGTCACACAATTAAAGTTCAGTTGCTTGGCAACTGACTCATCTTTATGATGGTTGCAGTGTCCCAGGATCATGTGACCACTTTTCACGACCTTATGACAAGCAAAGTCAATGGGGAAGCCAGATTCACTTAACAACCTTGTTACTAACTTAACCACTGAAGTGATTGACAACTGTGGCAAGAGAGGTCGTAAAATGGGGGAAAGCTCACTTAACAAATGTCTCAGTTAACAGAAATTTTGGGCTCAATTGTGTCGTAAGTCAAGGACTACCTGTACTAATTCAAATGACCATTTAAACTGTATATAGTCCCAAAAATTGGTGCCACACCTATACATTCAGAATGGATGGTCACCTGAAAATTATCACTCCACTCATTCACATACTAGAATCTGGGGTCATGTAACGAAGTTGAAAGTTGAAAAGTTCAGAACAAACGAAAGAAAACATTTCTTTATACAATGAACAATTTTGCTTCCCCAAAGTTATAAGTGATCTCTATTCATTTAAGGGTTTTAAAAGAGAACAAAACAGATTTGTAGGGGATATGGTCCATAATGGCTACTTATCAAAATGCTTTTATGCTGCCCCAATTAAGATGCAAAATGCTCTTTTATACCACTGGTCGGAAATATATAAGCAGGAGGATACAACCGTGATCATGCTCCCTTTTTGGATTTCTTATATGGTTGGCAACTGTAAGAAATATAACCTAGGACTAGACAAGCCTTGTGTTTGATTCATGTTGTTTACGTTCTTAATTCTATTTCCTATGAATAGCAGTAGTAATACTTGGTCAACAAATCTAAGCGGCTTTGAGCAGAACGTTTGACTAAAAAAGTATTTCATGACAAAGGAGTAATTGATACCCTTTATGTAACTGTAAATAATTGGACTGAATCACTGGACTACCCATTATCTTTGCAACCCCAGCCAAAGCACTGCCCCTCCCACTCCAATAAAGCCCCACAAAATGGGTTGCAGTCTCATTCCTCAATTGCAATAAATAGACTCCCTCCGTCCATTTGCATAGTTTCCAATCAGGCAAAGGAAGTGAGGCTTAGAAGGCAGGATCCTGGCGTGTGGCTGATTAGCATGGAAATATATGCAGCTCACAAACAAACCAGGGCCTGCTTAATTAGAGCAGAGCCTTTGATTCACTGCCAACATCCAGCACATACCAGCCCAGGATTATTTTTAGTCAGTTTTACAAAACAAATGTATTTGATTAAGAGAGACGCCCCAGAGTGAAAGAAGATAGATCAGCAGCGGCAGGGATATAAAGAGGATGGTCCCCTACAGTGAATAGGGCTTGGGCTCATAGTGAAGGTGTCCAGGAATGCAGGTGTGATTGTGAGAAGCCTTCGCACACAGCCTGACAGCTGTTCAGCTAATACCTAGTAACTCCGGGAATGTTTGTCTGCAGCTGCCAATTCCTCATCCCAACACGTTCCCTGAAATTGCTAGTCTGAAACTTCCCTCACTCCATAGCTGGATCTGATGACCATTATCTCCCTCCCTATCTCTCTCTCTCCCCTCCCATACTCTACATTCCCTTTTAAATTCTTTGCTGCCGAGTGTCTTCCCCCCCACTTCCTATGGATTCGTTCTTTCTTGCTTCAGCTTATCATTGCAATCCATTTAGCTGATTCCAATCCCTTTAATGTCAGGTTAAACGGAAAATGTGCAAGGCAGACATACCTTCATTTTTCACTAGACATTATACTACGTACTGTGTAGGGAGTAAAAACCTGGCCTCCTCCCATTTCTGCTATATATTCTAAAGATGTCGAAACAATGAAAGAAAGTTATGATCCAGTTTCACACACCAAAGTAAAGGCAGGGATAAGCTGTTTAAATACATCCTTTTATTAATCTTCCAGGCTGGGCTCTTTCTCCTGTTTAGCAAATATAAGTCATTACTAAAAACTGTAACCACCTACTGGTTAATTATTTCTCTTTGAATACTTTAAAGCTTTACCAACAGGCCAGTATTTAAAGTTACTACAATATCTCCATTAGTAATCAACATTACTAACATCTGGGCATACTGAGATTGTCTCCCATTCAAAGAAAGCCTTTTGTGTTAGCAACATTCCATCCACCCAACTATCAATAAAAATAATAAATAATAGACAATTCAAAAAGAGTTAAAGCCACCCAAAATATCTATATAATTCCTAATTCGTAAAGCCATGTCAAAGAAAAGTCTTACAAATTAATCAGTGGAGTAGCTGGCTTCCGGAGTTGTGGGTGCTCCTGCACTAGAGGTTTTCAAAAATAGACTGAACAACCATTTGACTGGGATGGTATAAGGCTCCTCCCTTAAGCAGGGGTGGACTAGAACAGGGCTTTTCTACCTTTTCACCCATTGTACCACTTTTAGGATATGGCAAAATCTGAGTACCACCAGTCGCCTAGCAAGGTGTCAAAAACTTGATGACCCCCCCCAAAAAAGGAAAAAAAGTGATAAAGTACAGGTAGTCCTCGACTTACAACAGTTCGCTTAGTGACTGTTCGAAGTTACAATGGCACTGAAAAAGTGCCCCCCCAAGTCACAGCCGAGCAAGACACCTGCCTGCCTGCCCGGCAGCACTCTC